ACCTGGGACCACTTGAACATCTAGAATGTACAAGGTCAAGTCAGCTCTCAGAACACTTTTTTAGTGGCCTGGTCCATCTCTGAAGTACCTTCTAGCCCTTTCCCTATTGTCCTGATAACTAATACTTGGTTCCCTTCTAGTTCTGCTATTGTTTTACTAATTGGTAATTGGGCCACATCCTTGCACACTTGTTCTTTACTTGAGCAAGCTTCAAATTCTCCAAATTTTTACCTTCTATTTTTAATTTCTACTTTAATTACCTTCTACTTTTAATTTCTACTTTAATTTCCTTCCTTTATTCTTGAATCTTAGTGTAAGCAAAGTAATCACTCAGTTCTGTATTAGAAATTTCTTCCGCTAGCTATACTAATTCATCAAAGATGGGCTTAGAACTGGGAAAGTAGCTCAGTGGTAGATAGAGCATTTGCCTACTGTACACTAGGCCCTGAGTTTGACCACCCCAACCCCCCAAAAAAGAATGGGCTCTGCTGTAGTTCCCAATAAGATATTCCTCACTTCCATCTGAGACCTCATCAGAATGGCTTTTACCATTTATGTTGTCATTCTGGTCATGATCACTAAGTTCCAGACTCTTCACTCTCCTGCGCCTTTAATAGAATCACCATTCTAGGCTTCATCTAGCCTGCTTTTCCAAAAACTTCCTACCATTGTACCTTATTCAATTCCAAAGCCACATTTACATTTTCAGATACTGTAATAGAAACAACCCTACTTGTTGAAGTCCAAAATACAGTACCAGCATCTTCTTGGCCACTGGTAAGGGCCTCACAGAAGAGAAGGTAGGTACATGTGGAACGGAGGTCACATGATGGGGAGGGGACAAGAGAAAGCTGAAAAAGCTGAACTTTATACAACCCACTTGGAGCAGTAACTAGTCCTGTGAGAGAGTGAGAGATCACTTGTGGCATTAATCCATTCATAAGGGCTCCATCTTTGTGACCCAAACCCCTCCTGATAAGCTGCAACTCTTAAAAACTCTGCATTAAGAAATTAAGCCTCAACTTAAATTTTGGAGGAGACAAACATACCTAGAGTAAGCATCATGCCTACATTTTATATCACTTTGGTACTTGGAATAGTTTTTTTAAAAAATGAGTTATGGGGGCCAGGGCTATAGCTCAACAGCAAAGCACCTACATGCCAAGCACAAGGTTGTGAATTTGATTCCTGGTACAAAAAAAAATGTGTGATTCTGACAGTCTGTAAATTATATTGATACAACTTTTCTTTGATTTTTTTTTCCGGTACCGGGAATCAAACTCACGACCTTGCACTTGCCAGGCAGGTGTTGTGCCGCTGAGCTAAATCCCCAGCCCCAATACAACTTTTCTTCAACACCCTTTTGCTTAAAATACTGAGTTTTGGCATACATAAACATAATTTTTTTTTTTTTTAAATGGGGGGATCTTGCTATGTTGCCCAGGCTGGCCTCGAACTCACATTTTCCACCTTAACCTCCCAAGTAGCTGGGATTAAAGACATGTACCTAGTTGGAATTTTTTCATATATAAACATTGGCTAAAAATCTTGCATTGAGAGATAAGTACATTTTATAAAGTTTCAATAAAGAAACCACAAGACATTCCATTAGGGAATAATGATTGGAGGGCTGGGGATATAGCTCAGCAGCACAGCACCTGCCTGGCAACACAAGGTCGTGAGTTGGATTCCCAGTACAAAAAAAAAATTCACTCAAAGTGAGCTGAAGGAATAATGATTGGGGACATATTCTAGAGGGCTTGGTGTACTTCCCAAAACTTTATTTTTTTACTTCATTCTTAATAGGTGACATTTCCTGCACTAACTTTCTTTATAAGTAGGTTGGAAAAAATACTGTGATTATAAGGGACCAATGGATAGCTATGAATTGTCCACCAGAGACTCATGTATTAAGGATTTGATCCCCAGCACAGCAGTGTGTTGAGGTGGGGCCTAGAAGTGACTGGTCATGTAGCTCAGTGGGCTGTTAGGAGGTGGGTTTATCTTATCCTCAGTCCCTCCTCTCTGGCTCTTTCTCTCTCTGCTTTCTGGCTTGCCCATGACATGAATAGCTTTGTTCCACCGTGCCCTTCTGCCACGATGTAACTAGCCAACCATCCACTGAAATCTGTGAGCCAGAATAAAAATTTTCACCTTTTGTTATGTGCGGTACTTTTGTCGTGGTAGTGAACAAACAGTCCGATAGTGCACTTTTCTTTTCATCTTTCACATTGAATCTCTCCTGTGTTCTTGCCTCAACATTTCCCGGATGGCCCAACTGACAGTCACTTTTAGTTATTTACCTAATTTCTCTTCAGAGCAAATTGCAGTAAGAGTGATCTAATTTCTCTTTTTAATAAGCTTCTCCCTTCTCGTTCCTCCCAATAGTTGATAGTTCATCATTTCCCTCCACCCCTAAAGACCAGCTTCTCCTTCAGTGTCCACTTATCTCAGTAAATGACAGCATTTATTCAGTTGCTTTCACATTTAAGTCTTTCACCCATCTTTTTTTGTGTGGGAGCGGAAGTAATATTGTGTGAGACAGGGAGCAATCAGTTAAAAGAGAATTACTGTAGTGAGGGATGAGTGAGCTCACAGGTACAAGGGGTCAGATCATATAGAACTTTTTAATAGGTCATTAAAAGACCATTGGGAGTGGGGCATGTGATGGTGCCCACTGTAATCCCAGCATTCTGAAAGGCTGAGGAAAAACGATTACAAGTTTGAGCCCAGTGCAACTTAGTGACTTACTGAGACTGAAAATTTAAAACTTTTGGGCTGGGAGGTGGCTCAATGTAAAGGCCCTGGGTTTAACCGCTGCCCACCCCCGTGTTTCCCCCAAGACACACACCATAGGACAGAATTCAGCTTTTACTTTGCCAGATGGGGAGCTACTGCCGGGTCATGAGCAAAGCCATAATCTCATTTAGTTTTTTGTTTTGTTGTTTGTTTGTTTGTTTGTTTGTTATCGGCAATCAAACTCAGGACCTTTCACTTGCCAGGCGGGCACTTATGCCGCTGAGCTATATCCCCACTGGCCCTTCATTTAGTTTTTAACCAAGAACATTTTGGTTTATGTGTGGACAGCCTTGTTGGAGACAGGGAGACTGTTTGGGAGAGTATCACAGTGATACAAAACACAGGTATCTTACACCAAGCAGTGGAATTCTTAGCTTAAGGATGGATCTGATATATCAGTTGGTTAAAATTTAAGATTAATGATAGTGTTGAGAATATGGAGAAATTGGCCTCACTGTTGGGAGTGTAAAAAAAAAAATGGAGAGCAATTTGGAAATTTAATTACTTCTAGTAAAGTAATAATTGAATTCTGATACACTGAATGTTAGATAGTTGTTAATAGGTAGGTAAGTCTATAGATACTGTGATGGGAAGAGTAAAAAAAGTAGTAGTGGCAGTGTACAGTTGTGAGCATGTATATCCTCAGTATTTACATTTTTTACAAGATTATATTCATGTACTACTTCTGCAAATTTTTGTATGATCCAATATAGAAGACGTAGTGCTTGACAGTAATTTCATGCGTAAAAAACACCAAAGTTTTATAATGCCCACATTTTCTTTAAAGGTACTGTATTCTGTAGTACAATAACATTGTTTGTCATATGTATATATCTGTTTTTTAAGCTGTTATCCTAAGGTAAATTAAATCCTGAAGGTTTCATTTAAGAAATACATATAAAATTTCATATTGTCAGCCTTTTATTAGGTAATATTGATGATACAGATAACTAACAAATAGTTTCTGACCTTACTTGAGTGATCAGATGCATGGGTAAGGTGAAATAAGTGGTAACTCTGTGTATGTGTGTGTGTTTGTATACAAATATGTACGTGGGAAATCTGTTGTTCTGATTGTAAGAATTTGTTTTAAGGATATGGAAAGTACATATAATACCTACATACCAGTATTCATAGCACTGTTTATAATAGTTTGAAAAATTGTACATAATCTGACTATGAATACATATTAAATAAATTATATGAAGGTAATTTAAAATAAGTATTTAGCTCTATGGTTGCTAATAAATAAGATCCACAGTCTATTAAGAGGGGAAAGACAATGAATGCATTATGTATTTTGGATCAGGGAAAACAGATTTGGGTAGGTAACATGGGGAAGACGTTTTAGATTAGTATTTCCTAGCCTTCTTTCTTGGGACTCAGATTCCATTTCTCAACTTACAAGTCATTTCTTCAGTTTGCACAGTATATGATTAAAAGTGAGTTTTAAATAGGAAATGCTCTGTATTAGTATAGTATTAAAAATTGCCTTATGAAATTAGGTTGTGGTTCCACAGAGTCATTTTTGGCTCATCATAAGGAAACTTTCTAATGAGTAGGACTGTTAACAGATGGTATCCAGCTTGGCTTGCTGGGGCCACATTCAGTGAAAAGGAATTGTTTAGGTAACATACAAAATACATAATGTTAATATATGTAAGCAGTGAAACTTCCTTTATTTTTAAACATTTTTTACTTAAAATTTAAAAAAGAAGGCAAGATGTCCATAGGTCTCAGATTAGATACTTCTAGTAGTTGTATCCTATGTCACTATGTGACATTTTTCAGATAAACTGAAAATAAACTTTTGTTCTCATCCAGTATCTTGAGTTTCTGGACTTGGTGAATAATAAATTAATTTTATGTGCCCATGGACAAAGTTCATTTCCTAATCTATAAAAATTCTGTTTAAGAAAGATAACATCACAAATATATATCTAAGAAAAATAACAGATAATATATGAATGTATTTATTTATAGATAAGTATATATAATTACAAGTTATGAAATTATATGTGATAATATTTGGAAATTCCATAATTCATTACTTCAAAAACGTATGTTGCCTGGCGTGGTGGCATATGCCTGTAATCCCAGTTCTTGGGAGGCTGAAGTGGGAAGGTTGATGTAAGTTTAAGGCCTGCCTGGACTACGTAGTGATACCCTCTCTCAAAGAATCAAAAAAAAAAATGTTTTATTCCCACTCAGGTCGAATACATCAAGCAATGGTAACATCTTTAAATGAAGATAATGAAAGTGTAACTGTTGAATGGATAGAAAATGGAGATACAAAAGGCAAAGAGGTATGATCACTGGGTTAACTTCTATGTCTAGCCTTGCAATCAAGATTCTGAACAAAACAAAACTAATGTAATTCTTAAATACTGCATATATTCTTTTTTCATTTCTTGAAAAACTTTCAGATAAAATTCTTTAAACATCTTTATGTGGTTGCACATTAGTCCTCTTTATTACTAGATAAAAATGTACTATTCTTTTAACTTAGCCCACATAATTTGAAAGTTACCATAATAATGAATGATTTTGTTGGTAATTATGTTACTAGCAATTTATATAATCAAGAGTATAATACACTATTTTAAGAGATTATTTAGATATATATAGACTCTTACTAGTAACTCATAAAGGCTATAAAACGTGATTTTCAGGGAGAGTCTTGAGATACATGTAGATTATTATTACAAACAATCTAGTTTTTGCTCAGTAATGCCATTCATTAGGTTGTAGTTATGCTATTTACTCTGTAAATTTATTTGAAAAAGGAAAAGTTAAATGCCAAAATGCCCTTTCAAAATATGTTTGTGTTTTACATAGATTGACCTGGAGAGCATTTTTTCACTTAACCCTGACCTTGTACCTGATGAAGAAATTGAACCCAGTCCAGAAATACCTCCACCTCCAACATCCTCAGCCAAAGTAAACAAAATAGTAAAGGTTAGTGATGATAATTTAGAGCAGTGTGTGAGTTTGGGTATATGAGTGGGTGTATGTTCTGCTTTTAAATTGGCAAGTTTGAAGAGTATGTTTGTAAGTATTGAGTAGTTCTTTCCACCAAAAAAATCCATGTATATATCCACATCCATGTGTATATCCACATTCTTTCATGAATTAGGGCTATCTAATACACAATTACAGCAATCGTTAGATCATAGAAGTTTTTTGCTTTCTTAGGATTTTTCCTGAAACTGAATATTTCTCAGGAGATAGTAGTCAAAACCATTTGGTTGTCAATATTTGTTGAATGAATTATATGATTTTAACAGGTATGTTGTTAATATATACCTGTTCTATTAGTCTTTCAAAATTATAATTCTATGTTTATTAAAGAAAAAATGAGAAATTGAGTGTAGTTTAACTGCTTGTATACTGTGAAAATAAACTTATCAACCATGCTATTTCTTCCCTACCAATTTTATCTTTATAAAAATTAAAAGCAGCCAGGCACAGTGGCACACTCCTTCATTCCCAGTACTTTAGGGTAGTCAGGCAAGACAGTCCATTCTCTGAAAATCCTTTACTCTTTATTAAAAGTTTGTATACAAATATAATTCGTTTTGCACCAGGTAGTCATTTGAAGTTGTTGAATCTGCATTTCATAGTATTTAACTCAGCAAGCATTTGATTTTTTTTTTTTCTTTTATATTGTGCAGGTTCTGTGCTAGATACAATATAAAGATGACTGTGGCTTGGCTTTCAGCCTATAGGAACTGATATTTTTGTGTGAGGACGTAGCTAAACATCCAAATGTATGGCGATAGAGACTTAATATCAATAAAACAGTATGGTTTATGAACATGTCAGATGTTTCAATTCCTATAGCTGAAGCATACTGAGAGTCACTTCTTTAAAGGTCATTAGTTTCCAGTTATAATTAGCCCTTTTTTTACATTCAGCTTCAGAACCTTAGAAGCTCTTCATAGTTTTTCTGTCCTTATACACAATTAGCAGCCTTTGCTTTGCATTACAATTACATGGAAAATTTTTTAAAACTGATTTCTGGGCTCCGTTCCCAGAGATTGTTTTATTTTATTTAATGGGAGGTCCTAATATTGCTATTCGTTAAATAGTACCTCTCTGATTTGAATGCAGCGAGGATTGAGTGCAACTGCATTATTTGTTTTTTGAAGTAAATTAAATGAAGTCTTAATAAATAATAGGACTAAAATTTGCTGCCTTAATTTGTGCAGTGTCCAAGTTTTTGAAAGGCTTTGTAAAACCTTTTTAGGGTAATTGGCAGTGGATTTTTTTTTTTTTTTTTTTTTTGGTTTTTCTCCGGTACCGGGAACCGAACTCACAACCTTGCGCTTGCCAGGCAGGTGCTTTGCCGCTGAGCTAAATCCCCAGCCCGGCAGTGGATATTTAATGGTTTTTCAGTAGTTGAGTTTGAAAGGGCATTGGTTCTAACCTGTCTAGAATGCATGTTTATTAACTACTCCCTGATATCCAAAGATGAAAATTATTACCTAATCCCCAAATCCAAAATCTGAAACTTTTTGAGCACCAACATGGCACTTACTACAAGTGGAAAATCCATAGCTGACCTCACATGATGAATTGCAGCCAAACTGCAGGTACAACAAAGACACTGTGTAGAATAACTTTTAGGGTATATCTGTAAAGTATATGAAACATAAATGAATTTTGTGTTTAGAATTGCATCCCTTCCCCAAGATATCTTATTATTCCATAGCAAATATTCCAAACTCTGAAGAAATCCAAAACACTTACTGTCTCCGGCATTTTGAATGAGGGATACTCAGCCTGCACATTATTTTGGCAGGATAGCAACATAGTAAACTTACTAAACCTCTCTTTCCTTCAGTTTCCTAATCTGCAAAATGGGAGTAGCAGTAATAATGACTTTGTAGGGTTATGTAAAGATTAAGTGAATTCAATACAAAGTCCTTGGAGCAGTGCCTTGTTCATACACATTTCTGAATATTTGAAAGAAGCCAAATTTGTGATATATACATATATTTATATATTTGTGAATATTTTTAAAAAGCTGTTTGTGAAATATATATATATAGAGAGAGAGAGAAAGAGAGAGTGAAGGGAGAAAATACATTGAATATTTTTTCTTCTATAGAATCGACGGACTGTGGCATCTATTAAGAATGACCCTCCTCCAAGAGATAATAGAGGTAATCTAAAACTTTTTGTTCATTCTTTTGCCTGTTGACTCTTTGATAGAGCCTTGATCAGGTAAATCAAAAGTATTACTCTTGTTATTTGGGCTTTGTTTTTTATTTTGCAGCACTGGGGACTGAACCCATGGCCTTGAATATGCTAGGCAAGTGCTCTGCCACAGAGCCATATCCCCAGGCCTGCTTGATGTTAATTTGTTTAAACTTTACACAGCTTACTTTAAGATTGATATTTTCCTGATTTCCTAATATAGTAACATTAGTCATACTTAAAATGATTTTTAATTATATGTAATTGATATAAACTCCATGAAACATGTAATTTTAAAATTCATCTCAATAATTTTGCAAATTTGAAGAAAGTATTATTAAAAAATGGATTGGGGAAGGAGTCAACTGCTTGACTTCACAAGGGTAAATTTAATCATCACATTTACCATAATTTTCTGGACAAGGGATTTCCAAAAATTGTAATGTTTAGCTTTGCAGTCAGCAAAAGAAAAGTTGAACAGGCATAAATTATAGTTAGCTTCAAGTCTTTCATATGCTTCCAGCCAGAGGATATAAAGCATAATTAATTTTATTTGTACTGTTCAGCAGTTCACAACTACTATTTGTGATAGTCACATGTCTCTGTGTACTCCATAGTGGAATAGGATGGACCAGAAGTATTACAGCACAAATGTAAAGGTAGAGGGGAAAGTCCATTATCTTTTGAGTATGCTATCCTTTGAGTCTTGTGAAAATTTATAGTTTAGGCCAGGTGTGGTGTTGCACACCTGTAATCCCAGCTTTCGGGAGGCTGAGGCAGGAGGATTGCTGCAAGTTGAGGCCAGCCTGGGTTGCATAGTGAGTCAAGGCCAGCCTGAACTATATAGAGACCCTGCCTCAAAAGCAAACAAACAAAAATTATATTGCTTTGTAAAATTTGCTGCTTATGTTTAATTTTATGTGCCTTTCTTCACTAATGCCTACATGGGAACAATCCTCACTAAAGTTTGCATATTTGAGGAGCAAAGAATGGGATTTGAAATACAGAGAGTTGGAAGAACTTATAAGTTTTTACTTTCTGTATACCTGAATAGTGCAAATTTTTCAAAATGACAATGTTCTTAAGGTTAATATTTTATACATACATATTTTGGGGAAATACCTTTATAGTATGAAATCTTAAGACACAGAGGGGTTCACATATATATTAAAATGGTTACTAAAATAATTTGGCTTTGTTTTTTAAGTATATTATTCAGTTTGAGTTTTATAGCTAAAATTACATTGGTGGAAAGTTAAGTCTGCACGTGACTTTGAAAAGTTCTGTTAGCTGTGTCAGCTTAATGAACAGAATTTATTATTCCATATCTTATTTTTAAAAATATAGTGGAAAACTGGCAGTTTTCTGTCTCTTCCTTTTACCAAGGTTAGTTTTTAGTAATTTTATGTTCTGAATTTAAAAATCTTTTCACTTACAGTGGTTGGTTCTGCACGCGCACGGCCTAGTCAACTTCCTGAACAGTCTTCCTCTGCACAACAGAATGGTAGTGTTTCAGATATATCTCCAGTTCAAGCTGCAAAAAAGGAATTTGGACCCCCTTGTATGTAACACACATATCAAGGATTCAGTCATTTTAGGCATACATGTGTTCTCTCTTGGTCACCATTATAAGTCCCTGAATGGTAAACAGTCTGATTACAAACTTGATTGCAGATTGCATTTTACTGCTGTGGAAAATTTGTTACCTTCATCTCTTAATGTATATTTTAGAGGAAAAAATACTTATGCATGTGAGATTATGACAGTGTTTCATTTACTTTGAATTTAAAATTTTGTCCATATAATTTGTGAGAGGTTATAGAAGAAAGTCTTATCTTTCTGACCCTTTCAATTCACAGAGAAGGTGATTCTAAACCAAGAGATGACATGTATCAATATGTGTGAGTCATTTTTCTTGACTCTCACTTGTGTATGTCCTGTTCCTCATTCTGTTAAAACAGCTCATAAGTAAAACTGACATAGGTGTTAGGCATGCTTCGTCACTGTGTACTTTTTTCATGTGTGTGGCGCAGTTATCCATAAATTTTTTGTCTAAAAAGAAAGTTATACTTCCACAGCTTGTCTCTTTTTTTTCCAGCACGTAGAAAATCTAATTGTGTGAAAGAAGTGGAAAAATTACAAGAAAAGCGAGAAAAAAGGAGACTGCAACAGCAAGAACTTAGAGAAAAAAGAGCGCAGGTTTGTAATACAGGCATATAGTTGTTTCCAGCCAGTGAGTGATTAGACTACATCGGGGAGAGTGATTGACATGTGAAAAAAATAGTAGGGGCTTTCATTTAAGGAATTTAAAGAATTCTTAAAATAGATATGGTAGAGTAATGCAAACTTTTGTGAAAATAAATTGCCATAAGAAATTTTTATTGCACATACTTTCATGTTTTAGTGGGCATGTTAACCCTAAAATTTGTTCCATTTTGAATAAAAAGACATTATGTTACAAACACAACATTTAAGGGAATTAGCCTTTTGATTTTAAAAGATCTTAAAATACATATGGAAAAATATCCAAAAAAGTTACATGATTATACTGTACTATAAATTTTATTATGGTTTTTTTCATGGTTGAGTTCAAACCATTGTGAAAGGAGAGAAATTCTTGTGTTTCAGTTTATACTAGATATTGAGAGTAAGTGTCTTGTGCCCCTCTCTTACTGTCTTTACATGGTAGCAAACTTTTTCAAGAGCAGTGGAATAATTGCATAGAAAAGCTGGTTTTAAACTAGGCATAGTGGCACATGCCTTCAAGCCCAGTACTCAGGAGACTGAGGCAGGACAATCACTTGGAGTTTGATGCCAGCCTGAACTACATAGTAAGATCCTGTCTCAAAAAAAGAGAAAAGAAAAATTGATTTTTTTTTGGTCCCTTCGCAGGTTTTCACATGAACTCTATTATAGTCTCAGAACTTACTTCCATAATAAAACATCCACTTATTTACTCATAGTAATATGTTCATATGCCCCTAAGCACATTAGACTGTCAGTTCAAATGATGCTTTGTAGAGTTGCAGATCCAGTAGAATATTCCACTTGAATGAATCAACTTATATCTGAAAGCTATTTGAGAATATCTGAGTTTTGTAACAAGTTACACACAAAACAGGAACTTACTGATATTTAGCATAGTGCCACCTGGTGTTTCCCACAAGTACTTCAATATATCTCTGGTGTCTTGATTCTTTACAGTCTGTACCTCTGTTGACGTAATTGGAATTATTTTTTTAGATTGATTGAAAGTAAGCTTCAGTAACAGTTTTGAAATTTGAATTTAGTCAATTCTGAGTAAGTTATATGAAAAGATATGACATCTTAGAATGCTCAATAATTATTCCTGGCTAGAAAAGGCTGTTCACTATTGCTATTTTGAACTTATTTTGACCTTTCTTTTTTTTTTTTTTTTTTTTTTTTTTATACCTTTTTTATGCATTACGATATGCAGTTCTGGCTGTACTGTACAATTTGGTTTTTCTCCGGTACCGGGAACCGAACTCACGACCTTGCACTTGCCAGGCAAGTGCTTTTGCCGCTGAGCTAAATCCCCAGCCCGACCTTTCTTAATTTTGAAACAAAAATTAGAATCAGCATTCAGTAATTTGAATTTTTAAAAATTTTAAATTAGCTTGGCTGTTGAGTCTTCTAAGTTTGGTGTTCTATCATTTTGAGGCTGTTTTGCCATGCCTTTTTCTTACTAGAACCAACAATAATAGGAAATAAACATAAGTCAGTCTGTATTCTGTTTTGGTAAAACACTGAGATAAAGCAATTAGAATAAAAATTTGAATACACATTGGATTTGTCTAGCATTTCAACTTTTCTAGAATTTATTGCCAGTGTTTTAGATAAGTGCTATTTTTCTTTTAAGTTGTATTTTCTACTTTGAGATCATTATGTTAAGTGAAATAAATCAGGTGCACAAGCTTAAAAGTCTGATGGTTTCTCTTGTATATAAAAACCTAAAATGTAAATAAAGAGCAAAATAGAGATAGATAATAACAAATAGAGAGCTAGATCTTTTGTAAAAGGGAAGTAAAAGATGGAAGTGGAGTGAGGGAGAAGAGTGGAAGGGAATACAAAAAATTAAGATGTGTTAGGTACATGTACCAGCTCCACATGAAGAATGTAATTATTATGTACTCCAAACGTGTAGTAATAAAAAATGAAAATTTTAAGCTGGGCATGGTGGTATACACCTGTAATCCCAGCATTCAGGGAACTGAGGCAAGAGGATTGGCGTGAGGTAAAGGCCGGCCTGAACTACATAGTAAGACCTTGTCTCAAAAAAACACTCAAATCCCTCTGAAGATACCACCATGTATTACAGCAGCCATTGATATTTTCCTACTAATCTATCCATAACTGTGTTAAATTTGTA